TCACTTCTCCTACACCGATATATTCATCGCCTTGCCTGCTCCTGACCATTCTATCCATGTACAACATGAACAGAAGAGCGGACAGAACGCAGCCTTGGCGGAGACTATCGCCAACATTGAAAGGCTTCGACTTTGCGACATTCGATCTGACACAGCATATAGTGATTGGATGGCCCGTAGCTAATTATCATCGATCTCGTATTTCCACAATCATGCCAACAGACTCTTGCGCGAAATACGGTCAACGGCTTTCTCTAAGACGACGAAGCACGTGTAGATAGGGTGGGCGAACAACCACGATCCCTCAACAAAAGGAAGGAGAAATATATCATCAAAAGTGTTTCGACCGAGCCGAAAGCCAAGCTGTTCTTCCTGTTTCCTGCAGTCAGTGTCCGCGGCACCTCCTTTCGTGTACTTTTCCGTACACTTTACCTTGGAGGCTCAATAACGTAATGCCCTTAAATTCGAAGCATTGCATGTGGTCTCCCTTCCTTAATAGGGGTACAACAACTTCACTTCTCTAGTCCGCTGGTGCCTTTCCCACAGTCATCGCAGTCTCACAGACACGCGTAAACCAGCAGATGCCTTGTTCTCGCAATGCCTTGAGCATTTCATGGTGGATTTCATCAGTTCCAGCAGCCTTTTCATATTTCAAGCTTTCAACCGCTTGTGTGATTTTATCTACAGAGGTAGTAATAACTGTTCCCTGCTGCTCTACAGGCTAGGGTTCTAGCGGTTGCTCAGAGTTAAGGAGTTCCACTCTCCATCGCCGAAGAATATCGTCATCCTTGGTAAAGGGGTGTCCAGACCTGTCCTTCAAGACTTTCAGACTGCGCTTTTTTTACCTCGCGTTGGCGGATGGTCTGCCAGAATACTTTTTTGTCGTGTGGAAATTCGACTCCAACACGACACCGAACTTCTCCCAGGAATCAACTTTGGCGTTCGCCACGTTTCCGCTGCCGTCTTTCGAGCCTCCACATATCGCACCGGAGTAGACGGCTTTTTGTTTTCTAGCCTTCTCAAGCACTTCGTTGTCTTAGAGAAAGCCTTTGACCGTATTTCGCCCAAGAGTCTGTTGGCATGACTGCGGAAATACGGGGTCGATGGTAATTTGCTACGGCCCATCCACTCACCATTTGCTACTTTATGTTAAATGAAGTTAAGTCAAAACGCTTCAGTTTTGGCGCTGATCTCCACCAAGGCTGCTTTCTGTCCCCTTCTCTGCTTGTACAAGAATAAAAAAGCCAGGAGCAGCCAAGACGATGAGTGCATCGGTATTGGATATGTGGAGACGAGAAAGTTGCCGTTTTCGAACGGCATTATTTTGTTGGCATCTTCTGAAACTGATCTTCAGTGATCTCTGGGAAGGTAAGCAGGTGAGTACGACGTCGCCCTAATACATGAGAATGTCTAGTGCTTTCTGCTTCTGCTGCCCGTTGCTCTCTTCAGATTAACAGAGATGCAGTGAAGTATGTGGATAAATTCAGGCACCTCAGAGTCATATTTACAAGAGATGGAAAATTCGAGGAAGAGATCGACCAGCGAATTGGAGTAGCCAGTGGCGTTCTGCGTGAACTAGCCAGTCCTTTTGTGACTAAAACAGAACTCAGTCTGAAAATTAAGCTCTCAGTGTTCAAGTAGATCTTTATCCCCCATACTTACCTACGGTCATGAATCGGGACCATCACTGAAAACCTTCGAACCCAGGTACAAGCTGCTGAAATGGGTTTTCTTAGAGGAGTCGCTGGCCTTACGCGTCTCGGCATGTTCCAGAATACTGACATCCGCAAGAGCCTTTGCTTCTCTAGATTGAGAAGTGACAGCTGCGATGGTTTGAGCATGTGTTGCGCATGCGTCCAGCAAGGAAGGCTAGGCAACTGTTTCTTACGAATCCGACCGGCAGAAGGCCCAGGGGATGGCCAAGATTAACCTGGTGCAAATATATGGAACGAGTGTGTTCTAGGCTCTAGTTGCCTTCTGCCGGAGCTGAGACTCTGGCACAGGATCGGGAACGTTAGAAATACTGTCTGACACGTGTGCTTCGGCGACACGAAAGGAGAAGTGGCCGTGGAAGATAAATATGAAAAGAACTTTTGTTTTTTTACCATCCAGGTTTTTATGCCAATCTCTGAATGACCTTAGTATCATTCGAGCACGTTTGTTTGCACGATAATCGTATGGAAACGATGAACCACTACTAAAATATCGTGGACTTGCGTATCTTCTAATGATCAACGGTTTTAGAAGCGTTGCATCAGAACAAGACAGTTAAACGTTGTTGCAATTTCTTCCCTCCGCTGCATCGATCGCCCTTAACGGTGAGTTTACGATGTAGAAGTAAGTGGTAGAACATCCCAGTTTCATCAGTATTAAAAATATCATTGATATTGAATTCTGCGCAGTCTTTGTAATTCACCAATACGTCATTCTCTAACTCAACACTGTAGTGCATTTTCTTCTCCACAGATTACCCTGCAAGCGCTTCTATGTCATTCTTGAAGCATGTTGAGCCATCCAACAATTGCTTGAAAATCATCATGCCCCAAAATCTGATTCCTTTTCGCGTATTATCGGACCACTAGTTTGAATATTTCGCGACCGAAATAAAAATACCTTTATGGATGTGATCATACAAACTTCTTCGAATTTCCCTTTTTAGATCCTAATGCTCTCCCATTAATCTTGTCTTCAACTAATTTACGATATTTTAAAATGGTGAGCAATGTCGAAGTAGCAATGCCAATTCTTTCGCAAAATCGCTTTTCTTCTTCACGGGTCTGTTATCTCCAAAATGGCCAATCCTTCTTTTAATGTGAATTTTCGTCGTTTTTCGCTATTTTTGCCTATTTTAATGCCTCTGTAATAGTAAATTAATTAAATACTCTGTTATCTTCAATAATTCCAACTACACACAGTGCAGCGTGCATGA